ATTCGCCTGAGTCGGAGGGAGATTTTGGCGGAGGCGGCGGAGAGGAGGCCGTTCGATGGCGAGGAGGGAAAGGGAGGAGAAAGGAAATGGAGGGGAACAGGGGTGATGGGCAAGTGGGGAGTGAGGGAGAGAGAAGTGAATTTATGGGCTTTTGAAGGGTTTCATATATCCCTTCCTTGCCGAGATGTAAATGTCTTGTTGTATGCGGGCGTTTGACATTCCATTTCTTATCCTCCCCTATAATAACTCGGTGTATATAATGAGAAGAAGAATATATATATATATATATACATCATTTTATCAGTCAAGATTTTCAAAGATGACTTCCCCTCCATTCCTCCTCCTCCTCCTCCTCCTCCTCATTGTTCGTTAATAAACAATCCAGCCATCCCCTGTCCCGTCCCAATACACATACTCGTAACCAATACCTTCTTCTTCGTCCTCCGCGCCTCACTCAAAATAGTACAGACCTGTCTCGTCCCCGTGCATCCCAACGGATGCCCCAGCGCAATGGCGCCGCCGCGCGGGTTTACCTTCTCGTGATCCAGACCCAGCTTATCAATACAGTAAACCGCCATGGAGGCAAACGCCTCGTTGATTTCGAATATATCGACATCTTCCTTGCGCAGGTTGTACATCGACAGGAGTTTGGGAATAGCAATGGAGGGGCCGATGCCCATGATGCGGGGCGGGACTCCGGCGACGGTGGCGCCGACGAATTTTGCGAGGATCGGTTGGCCGAGTTCGATGGCTTTGGAGCGTTTCATGAGGATTACGGCGGCGGCTGGTAGTGTGGGAAGGTTAATGGTCGATGCGTGCATTAGGAAGGGTTTGGATGAAGGTGATATCAACCACAAAAAGCGGGAAAAAAAGACGGAAGGACAAAAAAATGAAGACGAAGAAGAGAAAGGACATACCTCCGTCGGTAATCTGACTCGCATTCCCACCGGTCGTCTTATTCCCAAACTGTGGAAACGCCGGCCGAATTTTACTCAACGACTCTAACGTCGTGCCATACCGCGGCCCTTCATCTTTGGTGACAGTCACTTCCCTCGCCGGCCCCTTCCCATCCTTCCCAAGCTTCACCGTCGTCCGAATCGGTACAATCTCATCCTCGAACCAGCCAGCCTTCTGCGCCACCTCCGCCCTCCGGAATGACTCCACGGAGTACCGATCCTGCATCTCGCGCGAAATGCCAAAGTCATCCCCGACATTCTCACTGGTCTGACCCATCGGCTGCATGCAGTCTGCCGCATCCGGCTCCTTCATGATTTCCGGATGGAAGGGCTTGGGGTTGCGGTCGGGCCCTTTGCTCATGGACTCTGCGCCAATTGCAATACCGATCTCGATGGCACCCTGTGCGATCTCGTAGGCGACGCTTTGAATCGACATGAGGCCGGACGAGCAGAAGCGGCTGATAGCGGCCGCACCGGCGGTGTAGGGGATGCCGGCGGCGAGGGCAGCTGTGCGGCATATTGTGGAAGCTTTGTCGTTGTTTGCCTTGCCGATTGTTAGTAAAAAAATACCGGGCCTCCCTCCTCCTTCCCCGTGGATGAAGGCCTTCTATGGATACAATAACACGTACATTCCCCATGACGACATCATCAATCAAATTTGGATCTAGTTTCGACTTCGCCATCACCTCCTGCAACAGTTGAAGGACCAGATAGTCAAGATCCGTGTCCTTGAACCCGCCCTTGAATCCCCTCGCCATCGGCGTTCGCCGTGCCAATGTGATGACAATGTCGTCGGGGTTCTTTTGTGTTCTGCACGTCGTTACCAATATTTTATCAATATTTAGCTTGTATGGGAGGGGATCTCACATCTTGTCAAGAGCGCTCTGCCCCCCTGTTGCGGGCTTTAGCTGTGCAAGGACAGCCTGCAATCTCTCGTTGGCCATTGTTGTGAATGAACTTTTCTCTCTTCTCCTTTTCCTCCTTTATATTCTGCGGTGTGTGTACGGGAACTCTGTGTCTAGTACATATATTTGTATCTGAAAGAAAAAGCAGATGGTCTAGTTCCCCCGCTACTATCCATTTAGGTATTTGTAAGATGTTTTGTAGAGAGAGAATAATACCTCGGCATTCCGGGCGTTGAAACCTAGCCGGGATTGGTCGGGATTTGGGTTTCGGCTAATCTGGAAAGGTCGGCTCGGCTCCGATGTTAATTTCTCGGCTAACGGTTAGCCGGTGGTGCACCTGTGATCGAACAAAGGTATTTTTTAGAGAACGTATCTTGTATTACAATTATATATGGCATATTCAGCGCCAAAAACTTATTTCTCTCTATAGAGACGTCTAACTACCGTACCTTCTGGAACAAAACCAGCAAATCCCTTCCGAGTCGCGCCAGAAAATAAATTCAATATCAGCCATGGGGTATATCAACAGCAGTCGTGAGACTGGGGTATTCGAGCAGATTTTAACTTTTCTGAAAACAGGCACTTAGTCTGCCAGTTTCAGAACAAGTACAAAAAAGGGTAGCTTCTAACTAGGTAATAATTGAGTGAGGAACCGTTAAATCAAATGGAGAGGCTAGACAAGACCAATATAGAGCGTGCGGGTTGAGAGAGATGGTTGCCAGTTGTAAATTCGCAGAACCCAGCTGCTACATTTGGATCGAGTTTGAGCAACTGAATCCTCCCTTTTAGCCATGTTCTAGCTAGGAATCATCTAGCACGACCTGTCTCCTAGAACCAGAAGACCTTCGGGACGATGGCTAGTATTCTACCTGAGTGGGATAATCTCGAATAGAGTGATGCCATTACTCGCTATCAATTCATCGACATAAATTTATCCCCGTGGGGCTTTTATCTGGTTATCCCTCGAAATCGACTTAAAAATCTCGGCGGATCAGTAGGTAGTTCTACTGCTGGCTTTGAATTTCTTTTCACCGGCGCAGGCTCCGCCTCTCGCGGTAGCTCATGCACACGCGGCGGGTCCCTGCTGCTTTCTGGCAACTCGTACTTCGGGGACGGAGGTTGTTGTGGCATAGGTGGTGCTGTCATGGTAATATCCCCCTGTTAGGACATCGAGTTAGCTGATGTTGTATGGTACTAGAAACAAGCCTGGGGGGATGCTGGGAATAGAATAAAAAATAAAATAAAATTAAAAGTAAAAAATTAAATAAGCTGTACGTACCTGGGCTGCTACTGGTACTCTTTTGACATTTGCTACTCCTGTTGCTGCATCAACCCAAGCCATGATAATGGTATCTTCATCAGTGGTTGTCATGTACGACATAGCAAATGAATCTGATTTGGTCGTGAGTTCCTTAGATGTGGCCAGTCTTTTAACATCCATAGGACTTGAGTCCAGATTTGATATTTGATAAAGATAACCCCGGTCATTTACCATCGCGAGCTCAGCGCCAGAAGGGGAGAAAGAAGCGCATTGAATTCTATTACCTAGTCTCCCGTGGCGGCTGGCATTTTCCGCCTTGACATCTGTTTTATTTCCTTCCTTGGGATGTGCGAGGATGGGTACTCCAGATTGCGTCCACGTCGTGATGCAGACGAGTTCGTCACCCCGACGCGAAGATCGAAATAAAGTTGCTGATACTCCATTATCTTCCGACTCGTGCAGTGGGACGTAGTATCTACAAGCCGGTAGTTCGTGGAACACCACGAAAGGAAATTTCCATTGGAATACCTGGATTACCCCCTTTGGATTCCGGGTGCTGGCAAGAAGAACAAGTCCGTCTCTTGAGAAAGAAAAGCGTGTCTAATGTACAATTTGTACAAACTCTGTGGAACAGGCTATGGAGCCGGTCTTCTCGAGGAGGTTCCGAATCTGTGGTCTTAAAGAACCGGACAATTGAGTTCTCAAATCCAATCACGACGTAATTTTCCATTGGGCAAACTGTTATGCATTTGCACCAGAGCGTTGAGGACATGCGGTACTCAACAACTGGGACCGACTCATCAATAAGGTTTATTATCCGTAGCTAGGTTAAAAGTTAGTTTAAAGCCATGGTAACTGGTGCGGGCTCGGGAAGTTACCGTTAGTTTATTATCACGAGTGCCAATAACGTACGCTAAGTACATTTTCGTAACTGCTGCAAGAAGGCACGTACTATCTATCGAAAATGCGCGTTTCATGGTTGGCGGAGAGGTTCCAACATCCCACACATGTATCGTGGTATGGGTCCAAAAGAGTGCGAAAGTCGAATTTTGTGAAAGATAAACGTTGATATTTTTTGCAAATCTTCCTTTTACGCTTTTCATCGAGTTGACTAAACTTTTCAAAGGAATTTCATCCAGTTTCTGTGATTCTAGAAAGGATGACGAAAGGGAACTGGTGTCTCCGGATGCTGAGATGGATTCCTTTTTTGTACCAGTGAGTTTTCTCCAGCCCATTTTCCCTTTGTCCGATGATGTAGGGGATTGCAACGTCCGTGATCGCACGAGGAGGGTAGACTCGGAAGTGGCAGTGGTTGTGGTCTTCTCAATTCCAGGTAGGTTTGCTGCGTGGGCCGAGAAATCGTGAGAACCGTGGGAGGCACGCGACTCAACGATGGTTCCTGGCTCCAATACATTGTCTTCCGTTTCGTTAATAGCGGTTAAACTGTCCATGGGCGAAAATTCGGTACGAGGGGTATCAAATCTGTGTCGAATTAGGTGCGTGAATTGGGATGAAGGTGATTGAGGAGTTGCACTGGAGGGGTCGGAAGCCGAAAATATAGTTCGAGTGAAAAGGGATGAGTCGGTTTCTTGTGTTCTCGGGCTCACTGGGGTTGTTACGTTACTATATGATGGGAACGAACCGCCAGCTTCACCTTTAGGAGGTGGTAATTGGAATTGCGTCGGAAGGTGTCTCTCGACGTTGATTGTGTCAGCATTTGATTCGATGTGGGAAAGAAGATTCCAAGTATGCCGCGCAAGTTGGATTTCTCGGGCCATTGTCACAACGTCACCACATTGCCGACAGTTCGTCCCTGGTGGAAGAGAAACTTCTGGTACTTCACTGGAATCAAGCTATGATGGAAATGAAAATTAGCAGTTGAGATAAATTTTATGGACCGTAGATAATAGAAGCACTTTCTACAGAAGCTAAAAACGTACTGGAAGATTAATATTATCCAAATATCTCAGCTGAGAATATCCTGCAAAGTGACACCCTCGACAATTTAGAACATACAACCGGGGGCGGGATGCTCTGAATTGAGCACTAGGATCATCGAGCAATGCTATATTCCGAGTGATTTCGGTTATATTGTGAATCACTTCTCTATCACTCACACGGCTAATTAACTGGCGGCAACCCAGGTGTTGGCAGAAAGCATCCAGTGCGTCAGCAACATTTTCATCAACATCATCAGATTCAGAGGAATTATGAGTTGTAACATTGGGCGTATTTGGAAGAACAACTCGAAAGCCGTCGCTAAGGGATGCAATTAAGTCCGCTTTAAAAGGTGATGCGGTAACTTGACATGTTCTAGAGCAGCTAAGACTGCATTACGAGTTTCCGAAGACATTGCCTGGAGTTGTGGATTTTCTTGTCCCTGTTATTCACTCATATTGGAACATTCGTCCCAAACACCAAACAGGGGGACGTCCCCGCAGGGCCATAAAATGAACATAACCCAGTCATTCAGGATGATCCGTCCTTTGGTACGATGGTAGAGACCGACTCGGACAGGAAGGCCAGTGCGCAAGCGGATACTAAATATATGAAGAAAAGTCAGTCACATGAATACATACACACATATATCTTATTTTTGTGTTTAGCTGCTACATACCATTTCTGTTCCCAAGTTCGGTAATTTATTTCTCAATCTTGAAGGAAGAGCTAGTGAATCTGGATCGCTGCGGAGAGAGCCTGTTACCTCCTTGCAAATCTGCAAAAGAAATGATTTCGGACCCGGGTAACTATCATAAACACGTTCAAGCGACCTATGTATTCGCGAAAACCGCTCTCGACGATCTTTGGTCCGTTGGCCTGTTGGTGCTTTTGGATGTAGTGAGAGAAATCGAAGAGATAATAGTAGAAATTCTGCAAGATAATAATCCCTGAGTCGACGAATTTCCCACAAGCTCTCTCGGCCATCCTCAACAATCTGTATGACAAATTCCACACATCGCAAACTTGTCTCCCAACTCACCAAAAACCCAAGGTACGATCCGGTGTGTGTTTTCTCGGCAGGCAACGATAGCCGTTGGATGTAGAAAATGGCATTCAGTTGGGAGAGTAACGTTGTCACGAGGGCTTGATAGGATTCTTTATTACCGTCCGAATATATCTTCTCCAGCGAAAAATGGCCGAGTAGTTCCTTGATGATATCCTCCACATCGCTTCGAAGCGCAAGGGCCTGCCAAACATTTCCCAAACGTATAGATAACGAGGACGTGACTGTGGCCGTAGCCATCGCATCCACGCGATTTTGAATCCTGGGCCTTTCAGGCGCTGGAATGATTTCCAGACAGTTGGATAATCTACTCTGCCGTTTTGGGCACCGCTCGCTCGTTATAAGCTTGACAGTGGATAATAGACAGTGAGCTGCCAAAAATTTTAGCTCCCATTGGAAGGAACTTGAATGTCATAGATGGTTAGTGATGGTCGCTAACTTGATGGCCCCACCATGTGTCAAGCGGCCACATTAGGTATTCTAGTATTGTGGACGGAGCTAACTTGAAGGCTTGGGCGGGTTCAAGAGAAGCTGGGGAAGATGGAATGATCCAAGCGCTAGTTGCTAGTTAAGGCTTACATAGCGCAAACGGCAAATAAAGGGGGGCACCTCGGTGTGAATCCAGGACTTCAGATGATCGTAGCACCGACAAGGGTGCTCAAGAAGCATGTGGGGCAATAATAATATTATAGCGCCTTCGGTTGTCTGTCGGGCCTTCAACTCGGGAAGCGCCACAGCAGCCAAATACCTCAACCTCATTTGGCTATTTTGACCCCGGCGGTTCCAGCTGCCTTGAAGAAGTTCCTCGATATAAATAAGAAGCAAATGTCTTTTGCGGCTCATCGGAGACTAACGTTCAATCGAAATTATACGATGTGGTATCGGGGAATCATGAAAATCGTGGCTGGGAGCCGCCCTAGGTTTCGGTAATGCCAAGGGAGTTGAGCAGCCGCAGGAGCAACGTTAATCAAATGCCTCCGCGCCAGATCATCATTGGCTGTGACCTAGGCATTGTCTCTCGTCGAGTTGGGCTGCTGCATATCTTCATCTATTTAGTGTCCCAATGCTTGCAACGACGCCGCCAGCTCACCAATAGGAAGGGGGCATTCTCAAATTTTTCCCTGCAGCGTGTTCTCGCATGCATACTTATGCTACAAGGAAGAGTCGTGTCATCCCTCTCCTTTCATAGGAGACCATCTCAATCTGGACATGGTTCTGGCTCTCGACCA